GAGGATCCGTATCTTATCGTAAAATTCACCGACGTGCTGACCCTGTTTCATCCTTATCCGCGAGAGAGCATCTGTATAATAGTCGTATGTTTTGCCCGTGGCAAGACGGCTCTTAAGATATTTGATATAATCTGCAACGGTGTTTATTTGTTCGCCGTAGACGATATTCCTTATGTCGCCCTTTAGGTTTGCTATTGCAGTTTTGACGTATTCACTTTCCGTTCCTGGTTGTAGTAACGATGCGCCGTTCTGTATGTCTTGTAAATAGTGTCTGAGGGACATATTTTTCCCATCATATTTGGGAACTTGCCCCAACCGTTTCTGTAGCGTCAAGCTGCTCATCATCTCCGTTACATTATTAAGCAATCGCGTGGATATGTCTGGGTCGGTCGCCATAATGATCAAAATTCCTTGCGACGGAGTTTGAAAGAAGAAAGGAGGTTACCAATTTAGATTCTAAATCCCAAAAAAACTACTGCTCCAATATCGAGCATCCACCAATTCCGTTTTCAATCCTCGGAGGTAGTCAAGAATTATCCCACTTCTGACACCAATTAACTTGTGACGTGCAGGGCGTTATCACGCGTCTAACAAAGTTAATCTCCCATGCTACGCGTGGAAGTTTATATTTATTTTTGTTCTGGGTAAGTTCTTGACTGCCGTCCTATACAGGCCCGGTCCTTTGGATTGTGCATCTCCGAGATCGCGTGGTTTCTTTGTTGCATATTTGTGTGTGTGTGAGATCCAAGTTCAAAAAGGCACGGCACGTGACAACGTCACAAAATTTGGCGCCCAACGTGGGGCCCGAGGTGAGATCGAAAATTATAAATCTTAACGTCACAATACATATGAATGTGTATGAGTGCGGATGCATGCATGAGAACTATGAAGGACTGTATCCCTTGGGATCCAAAGGAGCAGTTCGATTTCTGATCTTGAAGGGTGTACTTCGAATCTATATCGTAGAGTCAATTAGCTAGATTCAGTTAAGATAGATTGATTTAGATTAAATCACATTATAATTAAAGTAAATAAAATTAGTTATAGTACTCTCCAAAAGCACCTGCATTTTTATTTCTAAAGCCTTTATTCAGTTGAAAACCCATAACATCACCGTACCAGAAATCAACATATATACAGAGGATCGAACACCGTTGGAGTGCTCATCAGAGCTTTGGTGGCTAACGAACCCACCTCGCCAGATTCACGCAGTCGAATCTGCCGCGAAAACGACGGTGGCGACGATCAGCACTTCTCCCACTAGTGCTTTCTTCTCGTACGCACTTCTCACACTGCGTAGTGTTGTGTTCTCGCATGCTGTCACCACACGCCTTCACTTTGCAGTTACGAAAAGTAGCACTTCTCATGCATTCGTTACAAAAAATATGCGATATTGGTGCAATAAAGCGAACATTATATGCAGATCGTGAAGTTTGTCACACTCGCCTTCGGCTCGTGCCGTTGTGTTACTCGTGTGCGGCTCATGCGAGTAAGTTCACCGTCTGCCTATAAAGTTCGCTTTCTCACACTCGTATCGCAAAGTACTATTACAGTACTGTCAGTTCATTTCGGAACGCACCCCAGGGGGTCGATTGTGTAACTCAAATGTAGTGAAAATACGAAAAGTGAATAGCTGTTAGCCAGTCGTGCTTGTCTTCCTTTGAACCTAACACGCGATTGGCTAAGAGCTATTTACTCTTAGCGTTTTTACTACATTTGATTTACACAATCAACCCCCAGGCAGTGTTGGGCATTTTTGTAATTAATTACATTTTAATTACAAATTACAAATATAATTAGTAACTGAAAAATTTCTAAATACAAATTACAAATGTAATTAGGATTAAAACTTCAACTAATTATATATAGTTAATAAGTAATTTAGTGGTAATTACAATTCAATAATTTTTACCTTCCTGTTTTGTTCTGAATATATACAATACAACCAATAACCTTGAGACGACCTCTTTTATGTCTATGATAAAATATCGCGAGAGGAACATTTCTTTCGCAATTACTACAGTTATTCTACAAGTCACGAGTTACTTGGATACAACTAACGGAGTTCTCTTCAAAATACGGAATCGCAACGTGTATCACTGTGAATAAACAGTTTCTTTTATAAAATAACAGTGACGTATATATTGTTGTGTTATACTGCAAAACAAGTAAGTTTCATTTTCATATTCATGTGTCAACAATGGAGCTTTATATCACGGTGCCGAAGCCCGAAAATGACAGAGTTTTTATTTCACAAAGAATTTCACTGGGTTCACTGTTTACGCACACCAAATTGTATGTAAAAATATTGAAAACTGCAGATGTTATCGCATTTTTTCATCTTTCAAAGCCTTATCAATAAAAGCAAAAAACAACTTTTGTAATTATTTAGAATAGTGACTTTTCCAAATTTCCATATTTTTCCTTTCGACAAAAGCTTTTATTTTAACACCAAAAATGATAATCAGGTGGGGGCTAAAAAAAAATGGCAATTTTCACTTTCTTTTGCAACTTTTCATTCTCCATCGCCTGATTACCATTGTTCGTGGTACAGTAAACGCTTTTGAACAAAAAAAAAGACAAAGAAAAAACGTCAGTGATTTCTTTTTCGAGTTCCCCCGCCTTATTATCATTGTCGGTGCCGAACTAAATGCTTTTGTCGAGAAAAGAAAGCACGAAAACTCGGAAATGCCGCTATTCTATATAATTATCAAAATGTTGACTGTTACGATTATTTTTGGCTAAAAATTGATTTGCCCGCTCAGGTCACTATCCCAAATAACCTTTTCAAATTTGTTATATTATGCTATTTGCCGATTCTAAAAAATCAAAGCGAATCAAATATGTATTTTTCCACCTTGAACTTTACGGCATAAGTTTCAAAACACGAATCAGTATGAAGAAAAAATCCGACAGCCATTTTCGAACAGTCCTTGTTGCTAATTTTCGACCGACTCCCGCCACTCTCATGTAAGCTAAAAATGTATGCATGGTCACCCAAATTAGTGTATTGGCTGCTGAATGTATCAGAAAATACTTTTCGAACAGATTCAATTATATGTATATGATAATTAATGATACAAAATTGCACGTATATTATGTAACATTATATGATGAACACATATTTGATATCATATAATCAGGACAAATTATAATTATATGCTTTTTCTGGTTGTATGATAACATTTTTCCACTGTGGATATCATAGAATATGGTTTTCAGTTTAAAAACAAATGTTATAATTTTATATGTATATGTATCTCGGTTATATATTTAATTAATAAAAATTGGAAGTGATATTAAATAAAAAAGAATATTTGAATTATATAATTGAGACAGTTTATGCGAATTTCAATATTTTAAATTAAGTATACAATATTCAATATTTTAAATTAAGTATAAAGTTCAGAGTATGTTACTATACTTGCGTACGAGCTATAGTTATAGAATAATCATCGAATCCATATAGGAAGTATATTTTACTCATCATATAAATAACCACGCGCAGGTCCTACGATTCGACAGACTTACATAGTAAAATTCCATATGCATGGAGTTCCACAATAAAATCTAGAGTATCACGTAAACTGGTATGTATTATTATATTAAGATGAACGAAACCACAGTTGAAGATGTCGATGAGCCTATGGATGACATTCTTGTCCAAGAAATCGGTCATCCTGAAGGCAATGGTAATCCTAACGATCATTCCGAAGACAGTGGTGAGGATGAAGCACTTAGAACCTTGCTGAAAGAATGTCAGAAGCGTCCATACCTGGATGGGCGATACTTCACGGTAGATCCCCAGGCATCCTCGCGCGATGGCTCCATTGTAGCTGCGTGCATGTCTGTGCCAACCGGAAAAAAATAATGGGGTCATTATCCGCGCCATCTAATTTTACGACTCACTTACAAGTAAGTTAACTCATCAGCAAAATTAAATACTAAAGAAAAAACGCGAAGAATGATTGTGAAAGAACTAACACCAAAAATAAATAGCTTTTGATCACGTGAAAGGCGATATGCAACTCCAGTGTATATTAGGAAATATAACTCACAAGGAAACCCCCCCAACCCGACCCCACCCATTTCAATAATTTTTTGATATGTTGTAGTACTCGACAAAATAAGAGACACGTTTTTTTTTTTGCGCTGACATCCACTTTAAAGGGGTGAAAACGACCCTTGAAATTCACCCCCGAAAATCGTTTTTTTATCATATCTCGACTTCTAATTAATATTTTTTAATAAAACCAAGTGGAAAATATTTGTCATAAGAAGTCGAAGATATGAGGTGTGTTTATGACCCAAGGGGTTGCAACCCTTATTTTATATTTTGAAAAAACTATATTTTTTATGCTTTTTTTCTGCATAAAAACCGGGGTATGGGCTCAAAAAAATAAAGAAAAGCGTTTCCATTAACTCTATCAAATATTTCAGTTGGGGTGTTTCAGGATTTTTCAAAGGGATAAAAACCACCCCTAAATTTTACCCCCGAAAATTGTTTTTTATCATATGTCAGATTCTAATTGATATTTTTTAATAAAACCAAGTGGAAAATATTTGTCATAAAAAGTCGAAGATATGAGGTGTGTTTATGACCCAAGGCGTTGCAACCCTTATTTTATATTTTGAAAAAAGGGTCAATTTCAGGGGTCTTTTTCACCCCTTTAAAGTGGATGTCAGCACAAAAAAAAAAATACGTGTCTCTTATTTTGTCAAGTACTACAACATATCAAAAAATTATTGAAATCGGTGGGGTCGGGTTGGGGGGGTTTCCTTGTAAGAGTCACTTGGTTTTATTAAAAAATATTAATTAGACGTCGAGATATGATAAAAAAACGATTTTCGGGGGTCAATTTCAGGGGTCTTTTTCACCCCTTTAAAGTGGATGTCAGCACAAAAAAAAAAATACGTGTCTCTTATTTTGTCGAGTACTGCAACATATCAAAAAATTATTGAAATCGGTGGGGTCGGGTTGGGGGGGTTTCCTTGTCAGTATAATAAAAAATATAACTCGGTATAGTAGGAAAATTAAAACCTGTAGAATATTTGGAGTACATGCATCAAACTCTTAAATTACCTGATTCGAATAGGATTTTTTAGATATAAATACAATTTTCCAGAATAAATACAAAGTAATTGGCTTTCGATTGATAATGAAACTCCAAAACTGTAGCAAAATTTGGTTATATACCGTGATGCCATACCGTGGCTTATTATTAATGTGAAAATTTATAATTGATTTACAGCGAATACATCCTAATATATACGAGCAATATAGAGTTTATAAAGAGAGTAAACGAATATTGCGGCAAAATGAAAACCCTCAACGAAGAAGACAGATGCTGTCGTCTTGTACTTTCTCCCAACAGGATTTTGAAACAAATGTTTCAAATTATATACTTGAGAGCATGGCACCACTGAACACGGTCGAAATGCCAGTTTTTCGAAAAATTTTCGATGATACGTTATTCACTGTTACACCTGAAATTAATATATTAATTAAAACCAAACGATGTCAAATAGATTATTATAAATATATGGACAATTTTATCGTTGAAAACACAAAAAATAGAAAACATTACAAACAAACGAGTCTAATCAACAAAATTAATTTTAGCTTTCGAGATTAACAGTAATAACGTAACTATACGACATTTGACACGGCGTAAGTTGGCCAGACGTATTAAGGATATTCATATTCAAAATATGAATGGCTTAAAGACGGCTATCACAGAGAATGCAGATTATGTATGTACCACAGCTGATATCTGGACATCTAGAAACAGAAGGTTCTTAGGCGTAACCGCTCATCGGGTAGGCATTCATGCTTTCATAGAAAGGGATTTAAAAATAAAAAAGGAATTTTTAATAATTTTTATGAATGAACAATCATTGTCATTGCTATACTGTTGTAATTATCGGCGACTATACAACTTACAATGTTTTTGATTGTTAAGATTGATCGAGAAACCCTCGATAGAAAATCTGCAGCAGTGGCTTGTCGATGGTTTCCAGGAACTCACTCACATACAAACATTGCGAGAATTTTATCAGAAATTCATGTGTCCTTTGGATTGAACTTTCTAAAATTGTGTGCTACAGTCACTGATAATGGAGCTAATTTCGTTAAAGCATTCTAGGAATTCGGAGTTGATCTGGCGGACCAGTTTTTCTATGGTAATATCATTGGCAAAGTTGAATTACATTAACGATGCAAATAATGAAGACTGCAGTTCACGATAATTTATTCACCATCCTTCTAACTCTAAACATATCCTGTAAAAACAAAAAATTGGTTAAGATTGTCACAATTACTCCAGATGAGTAAATAATAAAACTTATATTCTTTTAGTCGATCTATACGGTAGACCATTCGTTAATGCATTTGTTTTTTTTATTTGACAGAAACAATTCCTGAAGTTCTGGAAAGTCAAGATGATGAAGACTCGCCTGATGATGCTCAAAACGTTGCGCTGCTGGAGGATCATGCTTCACTGGCAGAAGAATTCGCGGTTGGGCTGCCTCAACATCTACGGTGTGCCAGTCATACCCTAAGTTTAATTGCGATGGAACTCTTTATATGATGCAATCAGCCAGATTGTTTCTTTAAGAGACAGAATCCCCCAGGTCAGCGCAACTCTCGGCATTCGAAGTGCATTGAGGGATGACGATTTCGTTTATCTTGTAGAGTATCTGTTGTCCATGAAACCTGTCGCAGAAGCAATAGATAGATTGCAAGGCGAGATATATTGCTACTATGGATATCTGCTACCCACTTTAGTCGCTGCGCGTCGAAAACTGACACAACTACTAACTGATGAACGTATCCAGTACTGTCGGCCTTTAATAGATGGTTTAAGATCTGCACTCGAGAGAAGGTTTCAATCCTTTTTCATTGTGTCTAAATCCTGCCAAAATGCAGCTATTGCTGCGGTGAGCCACCTCAAATTCAAGACGCGTTGGCTTGCTTGTCTTGATGCAGTGACCCAGACGAGGGTACGTAACCTGGTTTTAAGAGCTGCTAAGGACTCATCAGTTCAAGAGCAGTTAGTCCAAATAATGGAGGAAGATGATTACTTTGATTTTGTCGAATCACCCGCTTCTAGGAAGCTGCAGTGCTCTTTGGTCACGGGGAGGCTGCAATTCAATTTCTCAGGTACTTAAACAAACCAAATACGGATTTGGGCATGCTACGAGATTTTCCAATCATGCGATCCGTATTTTTCAAGTATAACACACCGCTACCATCTTCAGCTCCCGTAGAACGTTCATTCAGTTTTGCCACAATGATAAACTTACTTCGTTATAACCGGCTAACCGATTCACATTTCGAGGAACGCGTTCTGTCGAAGGTAAGTGCCAAGAAATCATACCTCTGATTGTGAGTTTGACACCAGTACTGACATTGTGTTTGAATCTTTATTATATGACTCCTGTAATACTATAATAACGTAATGCTACTGACACATGTCTGTCGTATTGTTTGAAAATAAATTATTTCACACAGACGTATAAACGTGTTCATGACTAGTCATGAAAATATTTTCAACTATCCGTAAATCACAGTAGAAATAGCAGTCAATTATGTACTAATTGCATATCATTAGTTCATATTTTGATTCTAATTACATTTGTAGTTTGTTTTTTGGTTACAAATTACAAGTGTAATTGGTAATTTGAATGTAATTAATTACTCTAAATATTTAGTGATGCCCAACACATCCCCCAGGTATACAAAAGGCATTTCAGCCAATCGTGCGGCTTTCTTGACATATCAAGGATGCAATTCGGACTAATTTCACACTCCACAGATGCACGTACGGCTTTTATTTTCAACGAAACCGCTTACCAACAATTGTTTAATTAGGTAATTCGTGACCAACAAAAAATTTCTAATCGAGTCCTTTCCGATTTCTGCGGATGATTTTAATTGAGAAATATGCATTAGATCTGTGTAGCCCAGTTCACAGCCACGCGGCATGGTCGCCCTCCTTGTCCAGGAATGGTTTTGTTTCGTTTTCAACGAAACCGCTTACCAAGAAACTTTTTAACTAGGTAATTCGTGACCAACCAAAAATTTATTGCACACAAAAAAAGTTATTTTTGTGAAAAATAAGACTTGTGGGGCTAACTTCACATTCCAAATTTTATTTTCCATTTTCCAAAAAAATGAGCAACCAATAAATTTTCTAATTGTTCCAACAAAAAACGAACAAGTTTTTAGCAAAAGAAAAAATTCAAAAAGTACATGTTGCAGTGCTAACTTCACATAGGTGGATTCCAGTATAGTTATAGTTTAGTGGTCGCCATGTCTAGTGAGTTGTTTATGATAATCCTATCCAGATGTGGATGTGCATAGGATCCTGTCAAAGAATCCTCTTCGACGGTCGTCATCTGGCCTTTATGAGTCGAGGTGGCCTGGCTATCTTGACCGTCGACGTGTTGACTCTTCGTTTAACTCTTTATTCTCACGTGACAAAAATCGGTTAATGCCATTGGTTAAAATTTAATAACCCCAACCGTGGTTTAATTACAGAATATACTCTACATTTCCTCCGACCCTCTCTACCTCAAACCTAGCAGCCTGAGCGGTCGTGCATTTCCGTAACCGTCCGCTCCTGTTCGTGTATCCAGTTGCGTTTCTCGATTTTACGCGTCCCCAAAAATCGACAGGATCCGTTAAGCTATCGCCTCATCTGATAGGTTCCGTCAGAGTTCTCGTTCTTGGTGGAGTTGGGCCTGTTCCATCCCAACTCCCAGTTTATACCGGCTCGACAGTTCCCGGTGAAAAAAGAATTGACTGGCGCCCGCCTGGCTTGCGGATGCACGAACGACGGGTGGACGGCCGAAGGTAACGTAGGTTGGTTCTCAAAGATAGTCGTTCCCGTATGTCTTGCTATCGGTGTCGGGTCAAGTTAAGGAAATACGTTACAACATATAGCATAAAGACTTTTATAGTGATTTTTACTTTTTTTTTCGTAAAAAATTAATTTTTTTTTAAATTTCTGATTTATTGATTTTTAGGTAGATCAATCTCAATGTTGTGAATTTGAATCAAGTTTGAAGATTGAAGCTTTCGTCATTTTCACAAAAAATCAGCTTCTCAAATTTGAACAATTTCACGAAAACGACGACCTGGGAATGTAATAATTCAGGAAAACGACATGGAGCCCCTTTGAAAAATGTGGTCAATTGCTCCAAACACAATTCCACAGCTTACCGTACTTCGAGACAGTACCACGACCTGAATATTGGTCAAGTATTATAGTTCCCCATTATCAGTCTAAACAATAAAAATGTATCAAATGAGACACGATTCGTGAACGCCGAGCGTAAAATTTTTGTACATAAATTATATTATTACAGAATACACCGTTTACAGCATAAAATGAACATATGTTGCACAAATTTTAAACACTTGAGACTAATTATAGTTTCTTTTCTACAACTTTTTTTCTAAAGGTGGTATTCAAATTAATATCCAGTGTATGCAAATTTGTCAGGTTTTTGTTACAAGAACATACATTTTATTTATTTAAGAAGAGACCATTTAAGTTGCTCTTTGGCAGATTGTAAAACCTGGAACATAGAAAAAATTAGCTGAAAATATCTAATTAATCTCAGACATTGAGCCTATCCCTTTTCGCATACTGAAAGAGACAACTTACTATCACTGACAATCCAAGAATGTTGGATAATATATGAACAAAATTAAAAAGGTATTCTAATCTAAAAGTCTAAAAAAAAGATTTTTCGTTTGCTTTTTCTTCAAATATAAGGTTTTAAAAATGTGCCTGCACAATATTACAAAATTCATAAAATTGATGAAGTTATAGAATTTTTAATTACGCAGGAAGCGGTAGAATAACAAGTCAAGCAGGTATGGTTTAATTAAAAATAGGACAGTCCATCATACCTATAAATTAGTATAAACTGTTGAATAACAAGATTTTTAAATAGAAGAAGATAAGTTCCCTTTACGGATAGCGACTGGCTAATTAACCGTAAGTGTCAAATTTTATATTAAACCCATCAAAACGGTACGAAAAACTTTAAACGCGTTTTTCTAAAAAATTTTCTAAAAATTATTTTTTTTTTAAAGTGGTGACTAATTGCCCGATTGAATTAAAATTGTATATACACGTAGAATAAATATCTCTATAACATCCCTACCACATTTAACTCCAATTTGTTAATATGTTCTTATTTGCAAATCGCGTAATGTGAAAAAGTTAAATCCGAAATCGATAGATAGTTTTTAAAGTACCGCTATGTTGTCAATTTTTTTTTTTTAAATTATGAAATATGATACCGACGATGGACATACTTATATAGATTGAGAATTTTATCCAACTTTCTTATTTAAAAAAACTGTAGTAATCATTTTTAATAGAAAATAATTGTTTCATAAGAATTTCATGAATCTGTACCGTTCAGAAGCATAGCGCAATTTACGTTCATGTCATTGTGTCTATCTCTAAAACGGACCGGACAATTCTTTAGAAACTTTGCAAGCATGAAGATTTTGTGCCAAGAACATATCAAAATTTCAGATCGGTTACTTGCATTTGTTGAAACAGCCGTACCTCCTCAAATATCAATAAATATGTGTAAAGCGTTTCAGAATCATCTAATGGTTTTTTAATCTCAAAAACCCTCTTAAAATCCTCCCCTAAATTAGAATACCGCCTTAAAAAATGGGAGAAATATTTGTGCGATATGGTACCATAAAAAACAATTCTCATATTTTATTATTTTCATTCTCTTATTGAAATAAATAAAATGATTTACAAATTCTTACTTGTGCAACCGTTTGCTCTCCGAGTGGAATATCGTCTGTACGTAAAGCTACTCGTTGTACCACACTACTAGCGTCTGCATCAAGGATAATGCTAAATAAAAACAGAATAAGTAATATCTCATTAATATCTAAAAATTTATAAAAATATGCTTACCCTCCATCACAAATTTCATCAACAGCTAGCATCACTATATCCAAACTATCAAGCACTGCTCTCTTTTCCACATTTTTCCTAAGGATTTGGCTCACAGAATCATATAAGCAGTTTAACACACTCATAAGAATAAGCTGAAATGTTATAGAATAGATAAAGGCAAATGAATATAAAAAACAAATTAATATACCTAGGTTATATCGTTTTTACATACAACGTTATTCACAAGAAATCTCCCACTTAAAGCTTGCCTATCGATTTGATTTCTATGGTAGAACAACCTTCAGGTGGTGTGTTTGTGGTGATATTCTTACCTCATTTTCATGAGATGAGCCCATTACATAAAAGAATAAATCGACATTACTCCTGTAGACACAAGTTAAGCCATCTAACATAATTATCTCAGCATTAGCCCTATGTGTCTTGTTAAAGAGATTTTTTTCAAAAGCCTTTTGTTCCTTTGATGTGGGAAATATTTTTTTGTCATAATATTTTGCTAGTATCCTATTACCATCATTGTCCAGAATTGCCATTCCTTTAACAGTATACAGTGTAGGTTCCTATATCAAAATAATATTGCCATTAAATATATTTTATACATAATATATTACAAATATTTCAACAATAATACAATTATCAAGTAAAGAAAATATGTCTAATTTATATCAAGTATTCAAGTTGAGAAAAAACATGCTGTTAGATTTTATATGCAAGATTATACGAAAAATATTACTATTACGTTGATAATATATACGAAATGGAATGCTGCATTGCACGCTGTTATAATAACTTCATGTGATAAATTTAACGAAAATCATGCACGTAGTTGAACTTTAAATTTTGATTCTCCGGCCAAAACAGTAGATAGGTTATGTTGCGAGGCATCTGAAGAAATACCGCGATTCATGACGGCCTCCACGTAATTACTAACTTTTTACTAAACTAACAAAATTATGATTAATTAAATGAGAAACCCACTAATAACTGCCCATCCATGTTTATGTCAAAGTTGATTAAAGTGACGTGCACACGTGTCACAGGACGTCCTTCCTTCCTTCCTTTCCTTATGGCTGTATCCCCAATGGGGAACATGAGCCAGCAGAGATCAGTAGGGAGATTGCCAATGAGCCTGTTTGTGGTGATCACAATTTTTCTCTGGTTTCGGCGCGCCACCTTAGCGGAGGGCCCTCCAAGCAGTTCCACGTTTTTGATTGGTCGTGTATATATAGTAATACTACGCGTGACAATCTGGAGCTATGTTTTGGCGCGTCGACGCGCCACCTGAACGAGACTCTCGAACTAGTTCCACGTTTTTGATTGGTCGAATGAATTCGTGTGTTCCCCGAGATTCACGATTTTAAACCGGGTGAACACTCAAATAGGGAGACTTGAATCCACCCTTTCTTACTGCATATTACATAAACCGTAGTAATGAGGTAGTAAATTTTGCCGATGTTAATTCCCTTAATATCCATATAAAGCTTTGTAAATAATAGAGTGAGCAAATAAAACTTTAAACAAACCCTCGAACGTGGGTAACTACAGAAATATAAGTTTGCTAAATGATATATCACAATGATTCGATGGCACACGTGCTTGGTGCTGGGTTAACGGCCGAGAGTCTCGAGTTCGGAACTCACGTCTCAACCCTTTTTTTTTTTCTTAATTATCAACTATTCTTATTGGTTTACCTAGTTAACTTAAGATTCATTAAATATATGATTATATTAGTCTACAAATATTGTATATATTGTATTGTGTATACGTGTGAGGTTCGAAAGAAAACAAGCACAACGATTGGTTAACAGCTATAAACTTTTCGTATTTTCACTACATTTGAGTTACACAATCGATTCCCTGATGCACCATTCTACAATTGCTTAGTTTCCACCGTGCAGAGTTTAGAGTTAGGCAGCTTCATCATCGGTCAATTCCATATAACTCCTACACGTGATTGGTTAACTCTGTTTAACCTCAGCACGGTGGAAACTAATTTAATGATCACTATATTCTGCTCACAGACCACTTATGCCCGTTTCCTCCGACGCGGTTTAGTGTTGAACGTAGTTTAAACTCCGATTACTGAATTTTTACATTACTCCAACAATTGAACGGAAGATAACCGGCGTTTAACTTGAACGCCCGATGTCGACCGTTCAGGGACTTAAACGTCGTTCAATACCGTTGTTTGATGGCTGTGTCAATGGTGGGGAGAAGGGTAGCGTTGGTTAGAGGTTAAGTTGTTTGGTTCAGTTCATCTTCTGATAATGATGAAATTATAGATTTTATTAATTGAAGACCGGAAAAATTCAAAATTCGCCATAATTACTTTGAAGAATTGGATGATGTAGAATTTAAAATGAAATTTCGAATGGGCAAATAATGATGTGGCTATGTAATGAAGTACAGGAAGATGTTGACGTTCCCTTCAAATAAGTAAGTATTTTATAGCATTTAATTTTAAAAAGTCTAATTATAATTGAGGAATGCAAATTGTATATATTATATATTTAGAAATTAGCTGATACCACCACTGGATCAGTTGTTGCTCACTTTAAGATTATACGCAACAAGATCCCATTACATGTCTGTAGCAGATTTTTCTAGTGTAAGCATAACTTCTGCACATCGTATTACTTCTTGTGCTTCTTGTGGATGTGATTGCAAGATTAAAACCACGTTTCGTGAAGTTCCTTTCGACAAATGAAGAAATTCGTCAGCAACAAGAACAGTTTCACAGAATTGCAAGGTTTCCAAAAGAGGTTTCTTCGTTGACAGCAGCGATATAGTTTTCTTAAAATTATAAATTGCATTTATTCCAATAATATAGTGATGTTTGCTTCTCCACAGGTTGTAAAGTTCCAGAATCAAGTCGACACTTAACAACAGAAGAATGGTAAATAATATAGGAAATTCAAGGACATTAATCAGAAGATTGAATTGTACATAAAATTAATTTGGGTAATGATTGTTTTATTAAAATTTTGAGAACCCATGGTTCATAATAGTAAATAAATATTGGAAAAGATATTCAATAAATAAAGCAGTAACGATTCGTGTAATTTTATCTCTAATCTGTTTCATTTAGCATTCCCATCATGGCATTTCTAGATTTTTCCCGCATGAAAATGGTCTTTTTCATTTTTAAAACGTCGACTTCTAGTTTCTTTCGGATCAATTTTTCGCATGTTGGGCGTAGGCTATGCATATGTTTCTACCGTGTAGGGCTGAAATAGAGTTAACCAATTAGAAACGAGATTTGAACGAAATAAGCTAACTCGATTGGTTAACTCTATTTCAACCCTGCATACTGGAAACATAGGCTTAGTTTCCACCATAGTAAGAGTTGAGCTGAAACAAGGTTGAAACAGAGTTGAGTCGAACGGTAGTGCGTTGGAAACGCCAAACTCAATTTAGACCTAATCCTACGAATGATGCCGGGTTGGGCGAAATCAGGTTCGGTGGAAACGCGCATCTGGGGTTGAATTGGAGTTGAAAGCGGTGCTGCCAAGTATGTAGTACGAACAGTTTGAAATGATTTAAAAGGTCCTACTGAATCCTACATGCGGATCTTGTGGATTTATAACGTTAGTTGGAAAGATGAATGAAGAAGATATAAATATGTTCAACCAAAGAAGAGAAACATTTAGGAAGTGCATGAAATAATGTGCTGTTGGTATAGCTGATATTTCAACTCAACTTCCATGAACTCTACTTGAACTATGCCTAGTGTGAGTGCGGTGGAAACGGATGAAGGTAGACAAACTGGTCTCTATTTCACCTCCGAAAAGTTAGCCGGGCAACTTCGACTTATCGAATTTCTGTACTTACACATCGATTGTTAGCCATTTGTTATTGATTTTTAGACTAATTAAAACATTTGTTAGATAATAGTTTTTTTGCAATAACGAAAATAAATTTTAGTGTTAAGTTAGCCGAAAAACATTGATTTTTTCACAGTTTTTGTTTCGAAACGAGTGCAATCGATGTGGAATCGTTTGTTAGTCCCGAATAAACTAATTAAAACATTTGTTAGATAATAGTTTTTTTGCAATAACGAAAATAAATTTTAGTGTTAAGTTAGCCGAAAAACATTGATTTTTTCACAGTTTTTGTTTCGAAACGAGTGCAATCGATGTGGAATCGTTTGTTAGTCCCGAATAAACTAATTAAAACATTTGTTAGATAATAGTTTTTTTGCAATAACGAAAATAAATTTTAGTGTTAAGTTAGCCGAAAAACATTGATTTTTTCACAGTTTTTGTTTCGAAACGAGTGCAATCGATGTGGAATCGTTTGTTAGTCCCGAATAAACTAATAAAAACATTTGTTAGGTTAAGTTAGGTGAGATTAGCTAAGAATTCCAATGCTGTCACACCCCAAGGTATTAGATTTAAAAAAAAAAAAAACATTAGCTTGCAGTTTTGACCTCAATTATATTTCCGGCGATCTTCACATCGCATATTCCATGCCTTACCTTCACTCCCGGCCAGCCAGACGGCAGTCGGTTTTTCGCTATTTTAGGTGAAACCGTGATATAACAAATGTTTTTATTAGTTTATTCGGGACTAACAAACGATTCCACATCGAATTAACCCGTTTAGAAACGAAAACTGTGAAGAAAAATTATATTTCCGGCTATCTTCACATCGCATATTCCATGCCTTACCCCCACTCCCGGCCAGCGAGACGGTAGATGGTTTTTCGCTATTTTAAGCGAAATATTGATTTTTAGACTAATTAAAACATTTGTTAGATAATAGTTTTTTTGCAATAACGAAAATAAATTTTAGTGTTAAGTTAGCCGAAAAACATTGATTTTTTCACAGTTTTTGTTTCGAAACGAGTGCAATCGATGTGGAATCGTTTGTTAGTCCCGAATAAACTAATTAAAACATTTGTTAGATGACGATTTCGCTTAAAATAGCGAAAAACCATCTACCGTCTCGCTGGCCGGGAGTGGGGGTAAGGCATGGAATATGCGATGTGAAGATAGCCGGAAATATAATTTTTCTTCACAGTTTTCGTTTCTAAACGGGTTAATTCGATGTGGAATCGTTTGTTAGTCCCGAATAAACTAATTAAAACATTTGTTAGATGACGATTTCGCTTAAAATAGCGAAAAACCATCTACCGTCTCGCTGGCCGGGAGTGGGGGTAAGGCATGGAATATGCGATGTGAAGATAGCCGGAAATATAATTTTTCTTCACAGTTTTCGTTTCTAAACGGGTTAATTCGATGTGGAATCGTTTGTTAGTCCCGAATAAACTAATTAAAACATTTGTTAGATGACGATTTCGCTTAAAATAGCGAAAAACCATCTACCGTCTCGCTGGCCGGGAGTGGGGGTAAGGCATGGAATATGCGATGTGAAGATAGCCGGAAATATAATTTTTCTTCACAGTTTTCGTTTCTAAACGGGTTAATTCGATGTGGAATCGTTTGTTAGTCCCGAATAAACTAATTAAAACATTTGTTAGATGACGATTTCGCTTAAAATAGCGAAAAACCATCTACCGTCTCGCTGGCCGGGAGTGGGGGTAAGGCATGGAATATGCGATGTGAAGATAGCCGGAAATATAATTTTTCTTCACAGTTTTCGTTTCTAAACGGGTTAATTCGATGTGGAATCGTTTGTTAGTCCCGAATAAACTAATAAAAACATTTGTTAGGTTAAGTTAGGTGAGATTAGCTAAGAATTCCAATGCTGTCACACCCCAAGGTATTAGATTTAAAAAAAAAAAAAACATTAGCTTGCAGTTTTGACCTCAATTATATTTCCGGCGATCTTCACATCGCATATTCCATGCCTTACCTTCACTCCCGGCCAGCCAGACGGCAGTCGGTTTTTCGCTATTTTAGGTGAAACCGTGATATAACAAATGTTTTTATTAGTTTATTCGGGAATAACAAACGATTCCACATCAATTGCACCCGTTTCGAAACAAAAACTGTGAAAAAATCAATATTTTTCGGCTAACTTAACACCAAAATTTAATTTCGTTATTGCAAAAAAACTATTATCTAACAAATGTTTTAATTAGTCTAACAATCAATAACAAATGACTAACAATCGATGTGCAAGTCAGAAATTCGATAAGTCGAAATTGCCCGGCTAACTTTACGGAGGTCTCTATTTCAGCTCTATTTGAGCTCGACTCTGTGACCTCAGTGAAGTTAGCCGGGCAATTTTAACGTTTTAACTTTTTATCATACCAAATCGATTGGTGGTCGTCTGGTGGTCAGTGGCCTAATAAAAACATTTGGTGGTCAGTTACTCTTTTATAATCAAATAATCAAAATTTGACTTTAAAGTTAGCCGAATTTTTTTTTTTCAACGAATTAAGTTTTTCAAGTGCTCAATCGATGCGTAATCGTTTGGTGGTAACGAATATCATAATTAAAATGTCTGGTGGTCGTTAGTTTTCGAAAAAAAATTAAAAAAACGATTGCAGTGTCCAGCATTGACTGGATATGGGTGTAGAAACACACATTTACGGTCGATAAAACAGATATTTCTGAACAGATTCTCCCTTCGAAAGAATTAATCAATGCAAGAACGCTAGCCGATGATTGGTAGTCTAATTAAAATATTTGGTGGTCATCGATTAATGCACGAGGTATGAAGAGTCATACCTCGTGCATTAATTGATGACCACTAAATGTTTTAATTAGACTACCAATCATCGGCTAACATTCTTGCATTGATTAATTCTTTCGAAGGGAGAATCTGTTCAGAAATATCTGTTTTATCGACCGTAAATGTGTGTTCGTACACCCATATCCAGTCAATGCTGGACACTGCAATCGTATTTTTTAATTTTTTACGAAAACTAACGACCACCAAACATTTTAATTATGATATTCGTTACCACCAAACGATTACGCATCGATTGAGCACTTGAAAAACTTAATTCGTTGAAAAAAAAAAATTCGGCTAACTTTAAAGTCAAATTTTGATTATTTGATTATAAAAGAGTAACTGACCACCAAATGTTTTTATTAGGCCACTGACCACCAGACGACCACCAATCGATTTGGTATGATAAAAAGTTAAAACGTTAAAATTGCCCGGCTAACTTCACTGAGGTCACAGAGTCGAGCTCAAATAGAGCTGAAATAGAGACCTCCGTAAAGTTAGCCGGGCAATTTCGACTTATCGAATTTCTGACTTGCACATCGATTGTTAGTCATTTGTTATTGATTGTTAGACTAATTAAAACATTTGTTAGATAATAGTTTTTTTGCAATAACGAAAATTTTTTAATTAGACTACCAATCGTCGGCTAGTGTTTCTGCTTCGAACGGGACCATGCCGAGCAAAATCGGTTTAGAATTATAAGTTTTATCACGTAAAATGTGTTTCGACACGATACCCCTGTATCCATTTCTCAGCCAATCACAGCCTTTGGTGCTCGCCGTGCAGCGGAGGTATGACTCTTCATACCTCGTGCATTAATTGATGACCACTAAATGTTTTAATTAGACTACCAATCATCGGCTAACATTCTTGCATTGATTAATTCTTTCGAAGGGAGAATCTGTTCAGAAATATCTGTTTTATCGACCGTAAATGTGTGTTCGTACACCCATATCCAGTCAATGCTGGACACTGCAATCGTATTTTTTAATTTTTTACGAAAACTAACGACCACCAAACATTTTAATTATGATATTCGTTACCACCAAACGATTACGCATCGATTGAGCACCTGAAAAACGTCACGGTCAAATTTTGATTATTTGATTACAAAAGAATGACTGACCACTAAATGTTTTTATTAGGCCACCAATGACCACCAAACGACCACCAATCGATTTAGTATGATAAAAAGTTAAAAAATTAAAATTGCCCGGCTAACTTCACTGAGGTCACTTCTTAGTTCATAGTCTGCACGATTGCAAGTTATGTTTATCTGCGGTACCCGATAACAGCGACGCTGTTTGAAACTAAATTCAACCTCACTAAGCGACCATACTATACCATACCATACCCCCACCATTGAAATTCGAGGAAGTTTCAAGACTTGTATGTAAGACCGTGCTCACAGCCCGCCAGTCCCCGG